TAAAATAACGGTAATGGTAATTTCTTTTCAGGCACATTGAGCTACTATATTAAGAGCAAAAACACCAAAACAGACGGTTTTTTGCACAATAAAAGGTAAAATATTCATTATTACTTACAGCCGACTAGTTTGCTGAATATATTCTAAGCTAACACTGTAGATATTAGCTACCATCATCAGGGCTAATATTTAGTGTTAGCTTAGAATATATTCAGCAAACTAGTCGGCTGTAAGTAATAATATATATTTACCTTTTATTCTGCCAAAAAAACGTCGGTTTGTGTGTTTTTTACTCTTAACGGTTATGATATTGACCTTTGACTTTTAGACACAAAACTATTTAATTTATTGCCATGATAAAGGTTACGCAGCTGTTAGAGTCAGTTATGAAAAAAAACAAAACACAGTGACATTAGCTGGATAATGAACTCAAAAGAATTTTTTTTACAGTTTATCTGTGCAACCACCTATCGCTGCTTCACGTGAACAATACACAAGTACAAGAAGTAAAGAGAAAACAAACGTCACATCCGCATTAGCTGGATAAGTCCTGAATTTCTATTGTTGATTACATATGCTGTCTCGTTATCTCTCTCCCCTGCATAGTAAATAAAACCAGCATTAAAATCACGACAGTAGCTAGCTATGAGGACACCGAGTTCGTGTACTCTGTTGTTGTTTTTTTTGTTTCTTTTTTGGCTTCTTTCACACACACACACACACACACACACACACATATATATATATATATATATAATTGGAAGTTATAGCTCGAAACCCAAGTTGGGTCTCGGTAGAATATTGGTTCTGGTCATGGTGCTGATTAAAATAGCTGGAGATAAGAGAACCCGTTTATCTACAGTGTGTTTTTGTTTGTTTTTTATCTGGCCTACAACTCAAGAAGACTAAAGTTCAGAGTGATGTTAGCAAATTAATTATTATGAAACATAACGGTTATTTATACAATGGCTTGGTGTTCGACTCGTAGTTTATGAGTCGTGGGTTCGAATCCCGTCACCGAACATGCTCGCCCTTTGAGCCGTTGGGGCGTTATAATGTGACGGTCAGTCGCACTATTCGTTAGTAAAAGAGTAGCCCAAGAGTTGGCGGTGGGTGGTGATGACTAGCTGTCTTCCCTCTAGTCTTTCACTGCTAAATTAGGGATGGCTAGCGCAGATAGCCCTCGTGTAGCTTTGCGCGAAATTCAAAACAAAGAAACACATTTATGGAACGTTCACCAAAATAACTACCCGTTGTGTTTGGACGAAATACTTAACTCAGCAATTTAGAAGTTTGTCTTCAAGAGTGGAGTAACGTGGGGAATGTTTTATTAAATACCACCATTAGGACTATATATGAAAGTTAGTCTTTCGGCAAAAACAAAAAAAGAACAAAAAAAACATCGATGTCTGAGCCACTGTTTATAGAAACAAGAGCATGATAAACATACAAAACTGCAGGGGCTATGTTGCTAAATAATAAGTCTGTTGTTTTTTAACGCAAATACACAAATTGGGCTATCTACGCCCTGTATACCGCGGGGAACCGAACTCTGGATTTTAGTATTGTAAATCTGTAAGCTTACTGCTGACCCATTGGGGTACAAATAACAAGTAAAGATAAGAAACTGTAGAGATAAGATCTTATTATACTCTGCTAACAAAGAAACCTGCGTTTTTAGAATTGATAACAAAGAAACATTTAGTAACAGTACTAATTTAACCAGTAGAGTGTGTTAGAAAAATACGTTTTACCAATTACAGTTAATAAAGTACAGTAATATAGTTAACTTGATATTGAACATTCAGTGCAAATAAAAGCTGAGAAAAAAATGCTCATTTCGTTTTGAAATACCATTCTCGTGTTCTCCTTAATTTTAGTACGATTCTGGTTGTGACATTTTCATTCAGAGTCACTTTTAGTGGTGCATAGTTTATGTTGAGTGGAAAATATTTTAAAATATTCAAAAGAGATGATTTTTCTGGCGATACTGAATTCAAGTTTTTGTTAATAACGTGATATTTAATTTGTTGAATCCTACAGAGCTAATAACGACCAGGTCGTGAATCAAGTATAGATTCCAATGGTTGGATCTGAGAGCTAAGAGAAAAAAAAAATGTATAGTTTCCAATAGTTGAATATGTAGAGCTAAGATAAAAAAACATATAGTTCCAATGGTTGGATCTGAAACTAAGGGAAAAATGTATGGCCTAAAACAGAAAATATGGAAATACAATTATACTAAAAAAGGTCTGTGGTATCGAGCCTTATTTATTAAAGGTGAAAGTTCAATCAGCACAGGCTTTTCACTGTCTCTAACAAGATAGTTCCAGGTTAAACCTTGGACTATGGCAAACACCGTATGATCTCACTATGGAGGAATAAGCAGATAATTAGATCATAAGATTACTGTTTTGTTAGCAGGATATGATCTAGCGTTACCTACTTAACGTTCTTTTTCTTAGAAACCAATTTGATTCCCCAGCCTAATTAACAAAATATTAGTTGGCTGTATCTCTGTGTGAAGAGTGTTGTTGACGCTTTACATCACTCAAGTTTGGTAAGTTGGGGTTTAGTTAACAGTTTACATTATTCAAGTTTGGTAAGTGGGGGTTTAGTTAACAGTTTACATTACTTATAGTTGGTAAGCTGGGGTTTAGTTAATAGTTTACATTACTCATATTTGGTAAGTTGGGGTTTACTTAATAGTTTACATTACTCATATTTGGTAAGTTGGGGCTTAGTTGACAGTTTACATTACTCATAGTTGGTAAGCTGGGGTTTAGTTAATAGTTTACATTACTCATATTTGGTAAGTTGGGGTTTAGAACTAAACCCCAACTTACCAAATATGAGTAACGTAAACTGATAACTAAACCCCAACTTACCAAATATGAGTAATGTAAACTATTAACTAAACCCCAGCTTACCAACTATGAGTAATGTAAACTGTTAATCCTCAACTTACCAAACTCAAGTATTGTAAAGTGTTAAGTACATTCATAAGACGAAAATTGAAAATATTAAACTGTTAACAACACATACAACACACCAAATGTGAGTAATGTAAACTGTCAACTAAACCCCAACTTATCAAATATGAGTAAAGGAAACTGTTAAGTAAAGCCCAACTTACTAAATATGAGTAATGTAAACTGTTAAGTAAACCCCAATTTACCAAATATGAGTAATGTAAACTGTCAACTAAACCCCAACTTATCAAATTAAGTAAAGTAAACTATTAACTAAATCCCAACTTACCAACTATGAGTAATGTGAACTGTTAACTAAACCCCAGCTTACCAACTATGAGTAATGTAAACTGTTTGTAGATAATAGTTTGCAGTAAAGAAGTTTGGCAGGTTGAGGATGTAGATAATAGTTTGCAGTAAAGAAGTTTGGCAGGTTGAGGCGTACAGTTAACTG